GTGTGTGTGTGTGTGTGTGTGTGTGTGTGTGTGTGTGTGTGTGTGTTTTGGATTTTCACCACAACAGCGCCTAATCCACCTGGTGTGTGTCCGTGTGTGTGTGTGTGTGTGTGTGTCACTGTTTAAATAAAAAAAAACAAATTCTCTGTCTCACTCCATCCGTGATTCATCACAAACCATCCATAAAACAAAAAAGGTATAAATAGACAGTATACTACAAGATGCAAGGTGTGTGTGTGTGTGTGTGTGTGTGTGTGTGTGTGTGTGTGTGTGTGTGTGTGGGGAGGGAGAGAGAGAGAGAGAGAGAGAGAGAGAGAGAGAGAGAGAGAGAGAGAGAGAGAGAAAAGAATCATGGGGTTCAAGTTGCTTTGGTCAAGTTTGGTGCATCTTTTTTTTCTTTTTTTTTCTTTTTTTTTGGGGGGGGGGGGGGGATCCCATTTTCTCATGGACATCATTGGCAGCTATGATTGAGGTTTCCAGACACTTTCCCGCAGGCTTTTTCCTTTTTCTTTTTTTTCTTTCCCCTTTCTTTTTTTCACCGTTTCCTGATTTATGCGTGTCATGATGTCATCCGCTTTTTTTTTGGGTTTTTTTTTTTTTTTAAAGCCCTCTTCCAAGGCCTCTATCCTGGCAGTGGTAGGAGAACCTCCAGGGGCGTGGTCCCACTAGCAAAGAGGGTCGGATCGAACGCCTGAATCTGGACGAGTTTACGGAGAGGTGCACGGAATTGAGAATCATTGAACTGCTTTTCGGCATCTCTGCATAAAACACATCCAGATTCAGGAGCTTGCTCCAATCCTCTTTGCTAGTGGGACCTGGGCTCAGAATTCAGGCTTTGGCTGTCAGGCGGGCTGCTGCTCCATCTATCTATTTATTGGTGGGAAGCACCACCTGCTTGGAACCCAGGTCCAGCGTCCCTTATTAGACATATATCAATTAGGTACACAAAAAATGTCGGGGCTATAGCCAAATTCGGTCATTCTACACTGGCACACCCCTCTGTCCCATCGGGCTGCAGTGGCCATCATACTCATCTTCTCTTTATCACTGCAATTTTTTTATTTTTTTATTTTTTTTTTGGGTATCATTCCAATTTATAACGGACGTCTCAAAGAAAGCTTTCCTGCAGCCAAGCAACCGCTGTGCAGTTCCATCGGGCTGCTGTGGCCATACTCATCTTCTCTTTATCACTGCATTTTTTTTATTTTTATCATTTTTATAATTTCTATAATTTTTTAATTTTTATTTTTTTATTATTTTTCTAGGCTACCAGAGTGGCCCGGGGTCACTTGCCCGGCCGGGCCAAAAAAAAATAAAATAATAAAAATAAAATAAATATTTTTAAATTTTATTTTTTATT